GGTAGCTGAGTGGAGGGGAGGGGAGTCTGGGGGGCTAGTTGAGTGGAGGGGAGGGGAGCCTGAGGGGTAGCTGAGTGGAGGAGTTTAGCTGGAGCTCACCCCAGCCCGGGCATGGTCTTGGTTCCAGCCCTGGCTGCTCCTCTTGCTGGCCCGGCTGCCTTGGGCATCTTGTTGACTGTTTCTAGGCTTCAGTTTGGTTGTCTCTAAAATGGGGACACCGTCACGGGATTACCAGGGAGGACATTGCGAGAGCTGTCACGGCCTTGCAGGGGGGTCTGCATTTCTTGGATGATCTCGCTGTGCTCATGGTTGGGCCCTGGGTGAGCCTCCTCCGTGTCCCCCGCAGGTGGTCGAAGATCTATTTTGTGCTGTGGTGGCTGGTGTCGTCTGTCATCTGGGTCAACCTGTTTCTGGCTCTGATTCTGGAGGTACGGAGACTCCCGCCCGCCTGCCTGGACCTAGGTGGGAGAGTCTGCGCCAGGTTTGGGCGTTTCCTGAGCCCAGGCTCTGTCTTTCCCTAGGGGCTCGGCCAGCTTGCCTGGCTGCCAGGAGGGCCTAGGGACACCCCTGACGTTTGGCCTGTGTGTGTCCTTGGGCCCCCAGCCCAGGACTGGAGGCGGTTGGAGGAGGGCTGTGGGAGAGTGGCTCGGGCATGTCGCTCTTGCAGGAGATGGTGGCCTTGCTGGCCCTGGACCTGAGCTTTCCCTCTCCCTGCATTGGATACCAGGCTGGGGTAGTGTGGGAGCGAGGCTGGTTTCATGCAGAGCTGATACCCACGGGCCTCCTTCCATCCCTCTCCCTCCTACCAGAACTTTCTTCATAAGTGGGACCGCCGAGGCAACCTGCAGTCCCTCTCCGGGGACCTGGGGGCCACCCACGAGACAACCACTGTGGATCTCTTGTTCAGGTGTGTGAACGGGAAGGGCCTGTGCTCACCCCTGGGCGAGGAGGGAGGGAGAGGCAGGGAGGCGATGGGCAGGCGTCTTTTGTAACAGTGACATTCCCCACAAGCCTGGGGCACCTGGCCTCCCTCCTGCGGAGCTCGAGCTGGGGTGTGGGTCCAGGGTCAGGGTCCGTTGCTTCCACTGCTCTTGCCACCTGAACTCTGTCCTGTTCTCCATCGAGCGTGTTTAAGGAAACATCCTGCAGGTCCTGGTAGTCCTCGGGTGCTTCTGTTGGTGGATGTGGGCAGGTGGCCCCAGGAAACCTACCTCTTTGCTCTCTGTGGAAACTGTTTCTCCCCTGATACAGGAAGGGGATGATTCCGATCCAGGCGCCTGGCCTCCCTCATGGGCATTGGCTGCCTTGTCACAGCTGTTTTCTGTCCAGTGCCAGCGTCCCCCCTCGGCTTTTAAGAGCTTCATACAAACATCCTGAAAATGGCTGAGCCTGGTCCCCAGTCCTTGCCATGTGTCTCTGTGCATGTGTCCCTGAGGTTCTCCTACCTGGAGCATGGACAGGGCTTGCCCCGAGCTCTTTCTGAGCGGCCCAGGCAGGGCCTTTGTCTGTGCTCCAGAGCCCCTGTGTACCTTCTCCCCGACTCCGCAGGGAGGTCCTGGAGGAGCCCACAGAGGAGGAGCTGATGGCGAAGCTGCAACACCATCCCCACCTGCAGCTGTGCAGGTGACATCAGGTGCCTTCTTGGCTGGGGCGGTGACAGCAGTGTGGCCTGGGGACCGAAGCGGGTCCTGGGGAGAGGCAGCTGCGGCTGGAGGAGAGACATTCCCTTGGACAGAGCCACTCCGCCCACCGAGGCTGTCACAGAGCTGAGGCCCCTGTGTCTGCGAGCGGAACCACGGCAGCTTCTGTCTGCAGCGTCTCAGCGCGGCCGGTGCTCTGGCAACATCCACGCCGCGCCACGCCACGCCGCGCCACGCCACGCCGCGCCACGCCACTTTCTTACGTGAGCTGCTGTTACTTGTCTAAGTACGGAAAGAGGGCGACTCTAAAGGGACCTTTTGAGACGGTCTGAAAAGCAGGAGGCAGTGGCTTCCCCTCTGCCCTGTGATTTCCGTGGTGCCTTTGCTGCCGGCGGCCTTCAGGGACCAGAGGCCCCCGCGGGGCCCGCACAGGCCAGCCGGCAGCCCTCCGGGCCACTGAGTGGGATCCCGGTGGTTTTACACCAAGTGAGTCTTGACTGTTTTATTCCTGTCTGGCTTGTAGGAACGTGATTGGGTGTGTTTCCTTACGGGTCAGAATGCCAATTATCAGTGAGTCTTGTAAGAAATGAGGTTGTCGTCCTTCCGCTGACACAGCTCGGCCTGCGCCTCGGGACTGGGCTGCCAGAGGGGTGTTTAGGTCCTGTGCTGACAAGGTGCGTCCTGGCCTGGGCTGTTCCCCCGAGGCCAGGGCACTTTTTCCTAATTTGCACAGAGGCTTGTATAAGCCAGTGGTGGCCCTACTCTGTGTCCTCGGTGTGGCAGAGGGTGCCGGGGGCGGGGGTGAGCAGTGTGGCAGGCCACGTGGCCACTTGATCCACCACAGATCTAGACGACAAGCGTTTTCTCACGTGAACTGCCAGCTCAGTGATTGGCGGTAGCTCCTGGGGACTGGAATCTGCATGGAAGTGAACGCTGGGGTGCGTTAGTGATGTCTGCTGTGGGCCCTGCAGGGGCCATGAGGACGCAGGTGCTGGCCGCGTCCTGGGAAGGGGTCTCAGGTTCTTCTGTTTAAAATATCACGAACCCTAGTGCTCGGGGTTTGGAAACCCTGGTGGTGTTTTTTGTGTCCATACATGTTGTACTTTCTGATCCTGGAGTTGATCTGAAATCCTGGATGTTTACCTGACATCCCTCAGGCTTGGGGACCTTTGGGGTTGTGAGGAGACTCCTGGAGCTGCCTGGTCTGCAGGCCGCCTTTCTGGAAGGCAGGTTGGGGTGGGGAGGACGGTGTGGAGCAGCCGACGTTCACCTGGCCCTGCCGGCCCCACTGTCTCGGACCAGGGTCAGGCTCCCTGGACCGCCGCTGTCATCCGACAGTTTCCACCCCAGGTCTCAGCACCACCTAGTGGCAGGATCGGGCTCCGCTGGCTTCATTTGCCATGCGCGGGACTCTGTCACCCTGGGACCGCTCATTGCTTTTCCCAGGCCAGCAGAGGCTGCTTGTCTCTGTGGCTGGGACCCTGCCTCAGTTTGGGCTGCAGGCTTGTCCACCCACAGCGAGCCTGGTGCCATCGGGCACCTCTGGGTGGGACGTCCCGTGCAGGTGCCAGCGCCGGCACCTTGGGTCCACCTGCCCCGTTTCCTGTCTTGTGCGCAGAGAAGCGCCCCCGACGCTCACTGTCCTGAGCAGGTAATTCTGGATGACCTGTGCTGGGCCCAGGGAGACAGTGCTGGCTGGACGCTGGCTCCGGCCCTGGGTGGGTAGCTGACGCTGGAGCGGTCACTCTGGTGCCTCCTGACTGTGGACGGGGCTCGCGGGTCTGGGGATTCCCGCTGTCGGTTTCAGTGGTGTCGGCCTCCGAGCCCTTGTTCCAGTGAGACTGTGGCTGAGCTGAACTTGGGCACGGCTGCTGGCGAGGGGGTTGGGGTCCCTGGGGTGGCCTGTCTGCAGGGCTCGTGTCCCCCCCCCAGGCACTCAGTTGCTCGGACCACCATGCTTCCCTGAAGAAGGTCCACTTGAGAAGAGCGTGTGCTCTCAGCCCTGCAGCCCTGATGGGTCCCCGTGGTTTTCTGTGGCTGTCGTGGCTCTGGCCACCCTTCCATGCTCTGACCTGGCATCAGGGACAGGTGATTGGTGCAGCCGCCTAGTACAGTGGCAGAGGTCAAGGACACCAGGTCTGGCTGGGATCACCGCCTGGATGGGAGCGGAGGCAGGAGGGTCCCTATGGTCTTAAGTGTAAATGGCCAATGTGAAAGCCCTTGACGGACTAGGTATAGAAAAGGGAATATTGATAAACTGAATCCACTTAAGATAAGAACTGTCTTTAAAAGATACTGCAGACAGGCAAGCCGCAGCCTGGGGAAATTACTCACAGCAGGTATAGCTGAGTAAGGACCTATGTCTGGACCGTGTAAAGAGCTCCTACGAATAAGCAAGAAAGAGACACACCAACTGAAAAAAGGGGCTTGACCAGGCTTTTCACAGATAAGCCGACGAGTCCCGCAATTATGTGAAAACACGGGCAACCTCACCAGTAATTAGTGACGTGCAAAGGGAGGCCCCGTTGTGGGACATGTAGATGCACGTGGAGGAAATTTAAGTATTTATATAAAATTCAAAACCCAAGTTAAACAGTCTGCCGGAAGGGCGTGCGCAGCCGGCAACATGCTTGCTTACAGTGTGAGGGGACGTGAGCTATCATCCCGCAGGGTGGCCAGCTCTTGGGGAGGCGGGGACAGTGCGCCCAAGTTCAGTTCAGCCACAGTCTCACTGGGACAAGGACCCGTGGGCGATGCGGTGGGCGCACGGCCTGGGTGATGTTCTCATTCTTGGCCGTGCGAGGTCACGGTCACCGTGTTAAGAATTTCATAATGTAGGTGTATGTTACACGTGTCTTTCTGTACATGCCAAATATTAAAATATAGAAGGAGAGGACAGGAGGCAAGGAACTGAAGACAAGGAGCTTGGGCAGCTCCTCCAAAGAATTTCCTGCAAAGGCGTGTGGTCAAGTGCAAGTGACAGCTGGCGGGGACGTGGGGTCAGGAGCTTTGGGTTATGTGTGTGGAGAATTGTGCGGACTGTTGGGGGAGACCTGGGATGCAGGGAGCACACTGGGGGTGGGCGTGAGGAGTCGCTGGAGCCTTGGCTTTGCATGGGTGAGGTCAGTGGACGGTGGCAGTGGATGGTGCCACCAGTCAGTGTCTGCGCATGGGGTTTCTGCCAGTCCCACGGGCCCAGTGGCGTCATGGGAGAGGCAGGGCCACCGAGGTCCCCTCCGGGCTCCCTCCCACATGCAGTCCAGGCCCTGGCAGCTGGGCGGGGGCCAGGCCCGGGGCCCAATCTGTCGCTGGAACCTCAGCGCAGCCCCGGTGCGGTTGGCCTTTCATGTGGTCTCCTCAGCTCAGCACAGCAGGGAGGGAGCTTGTCTTTTCTCCGGGACGGCCAGGGTTTGGTTTCCTGCCTCGGAGATAATTGTTGGTTCATATTAAAAGGTTAGAACAATTCCTTGCTTTAAAAGAAGAGTGGAAGGCAGGCGCACCGCACCGCTCGTAAAAATTACAGAAGGGGGCGTGGGGCTCGAGGCACCCTCACATCAGAGTGGCCCCAGACGCTGCGGGCGGCGGTCTCCCCAGCCCTGTGACCGTGCTGGGGGCCGAGCTATTCTTCTGGTAACACAATCGGACCCACACCAGGGCTGTGGGTCCACACCTGCGGGGCCTGGGTGCCCGCTGCTGCCCGGGACCCACAGCAGTTGGCTAATCCGCTTTCGGGCCCTGGCAACACCTGTCGGCAGGTGAGCCAGACCTGCCTTACCCACCCCTCGGCCTTTAGTTTTCCTCACAGACTGTAGGTGGGTAGGAGCCACCGACGCAGAATCCACAATGAGGGGACCGTCTCCAGCTGCATGCATTAGGCCAGCGGCCGTGGGGGTGGGGGGCAAGGACACCAAGGGCAGAGATGGGGCCCCGGCCTCCGTGGGGTCCGGCTGCCTCCCCCAGCTGCAGTCCGTGTTCTCTCTGCTGCCCCCTCGCCCCGCTCTGCGCAGCAATGGGGTGTTTCCGGCCCTCCCTCTGTCCCGGGCCTGGCGGCGCTGTGTGCAGCTGGCGCTCAGTGAATATCCATGTGAAAGAATCTAGGACAGATGTGTTACATCAGGCTGGGGCGCTCGACCCCCAGATATATGTGGGGGCTGCTCTATGCCAGGTTAGGAGGGGAAGTGGGACAAAACAGAAAACGCTGGGGCAGGAGGAGGCTGCATGTGCACCAGGGGACCCACTGCTGCTGCAGGCCAGCCGGGAGCTTCCCGGCAGCCTTTGGGAAAAGGGAAAAGGTTTCTACTGGAGGAGGCAGTGGGCTGCCCCCCTGGCCTATACCAGGGCCCGGCAGGCCCGGTGGACTTCCTGGTGGAGGTGTGATGGCAGGGCTGGGACAGGTCTCCAGGCAAGCTGGCCAGGATCCACAGCGGTGTCCCCAGCCTTGGTTTTGTCAGGCGCCTGTTTTGAAGGCTCATCGTGGGGCCCACGGAGTGAAGGACATAAAAGCCTGTTCTAGTCCGCGCAGCAGCGAGGGCAGAAGTTCTCATTTTCTTTCTTTTGAAGGTGGTCTTGAGTAAATAGTATGCCAGTAGTAATTAGTAATAACAGAAGCCTCATTTTTTGGGTGCTTGCTCTCTGCAGGGTATTGACTTGCTTCATCCTATAGAAGCCACTGGCCATGGCAGCACTTATAGATGGAGAAACTGAGGCACAGAGAGGTCGGGTAACTTTCTCAAGGCCACACAGCTGGTAATGGCAGGGCTCACTCCTCCTGGCTGGGCCTTTTCTCTCCGGTGTCATCTGACCGCACGTCAGCGCAGGCTCCCTGTGCCTGAGATAAATATTTGCCGAGCAAATGCTGCAGCGTTAGCTGTAACTCGCAGGGTTGCCCTTCCGCACAGGGGAAGGTCATTACAGTCCTGGTGGGCCGTGTGTCACCACAGAAGGTGGTCGGTGACAGGTGTGACCAGGTGTGCTTCTAGGGGGCAGGCCGGGCTCCTTGTGACTTTCTCCCATCTTAGCAACAACCCTAAGTGGCCCAGGGTACCCGGAGTCCTCAGCAGGGTCTGGGCCCCGCCTGCCATGACCTTGCTGGTGAAAGGAGGTGGGTGGGTGGCTGGAAGAATGTCGCTTAGAAAGCTGATGTGCCAGCCCCTGGGCTGTGCTCCTGCTTCAAATGCGAGGTTCAACCTTGGGGCACCTTGCAGGCAGGTCCTGGTCTTTGGGGATGGGCCCTGTGGCTGGGCCCCTTCTCTCTGCTAGCCTTAGCTTCCTGGGGAGGAAGAAGGGGTGGAAGTGATCTCATGGGGTTTCGGGACATTAAGGGGGTCAATGCAAGTTGAAGCACTGAGCAGTGCTGGGCAGTTCCTCGTGAGGCTGCTGTCCCCTGAGCCTGGACACGGGGCAGAGGGAGGAGCTTGTTCCTGATCAGCTCCCGGGTGATGCTGTGACAGCCCCCCCGTGCCACTGTCCTCACCTGGCACCTGGCAGGCACTGTGAGGGCGGGGGCCGGCTTTTCTCCCTGCTGGGCATCGCCCCCTCCAGGTCTGCACACAGGTGCTGGGGCCCTTGTTTCAGGGGTGAGGTGGCA